TCATGAAATTGTTCACTTTCTTCCTGTTCTGTTGCTTCACTGTCTTCTAGGAGGCAATGGAAAACAACCAACACAAAGGCAACAAAACACAAGGTAATGCAAGGAGGTCCTTTGTCAATTGGAGAAGAGAAGAAAAATTGCTTCATCTCAAGATCCTTATTTAATCACATCTGTAAGTCCTTTTTTTTTTTTTTTCCCAGAGAACATAACATATTCCAGGTTCTAGTCAGTAGGCTATGCACATTTGGGGGAGGCGGAGCATTATTCTTCCTGCCATCCTTAATTTGACTTCCTTGTCTTGTGGTACTGCCAAACCTCAGTCTTCTAATCATCGTATTTCCAGCCATGGGCCCTTAAGAAGTTTAGCCTATACTTAGCCTCTTCAGCTTTTTCAGATTTTGCAAACTGAACTCTTGTAACCAAGCTGTCATCTTCATATTCCAGACAAAACAGTTTGTATGCCCAAATCCCTACTTGAAATCTCAATTCCACTAGACTTAAGGACAACTTTGCCCACAACAAGCCTCCAGGGAAGCAGTTTTGCCCCATACTCTGAGCATCGGGGCTGACTCCCTGCTCTCTGGGTTTCAGGCCAGCCAAAGGGTCTCCAGGCTAGGCTTTCTCCTGCTGTCTGTGACATATCCCTCTGACACTGGCTCTTCCTGTCTGCGTAGCCACCAATGACCATACTTGAATGGACTTCCACGCAGGAGCCAATCAATCACGCCCAGTGTTTCTCAAAATTTGCTGCACTGTAGTATTATCAGTGGGCCTTAGACATCTGCATCTTCAGGCTGTACCCTAAGAATCTATTGGGGGTAGAAACTGTCATCAGCATTTTTTAAAAAAACTCTTCCACTGATTGCAATCTGCATGCAAGATCAAAAACAAACCAGAAACTTGCTGTTCAAATGTCCCTTGCCTATCAGTAGCAGCATCTGGTTAGAAACACAGATAGTCAGGTCTCTTCCCCAGTCCTACTGGATTAGAATCTGCATTTTGACAAATCCTCCAAAGTGGTTTTGCAAAGCTCTGATGTAATTCATTGTCCTCTGAGGCCTCATTCTGAAAATTTTCATAAATCATAATCATTTATCAAATAATTTTGCTCTTTGTTGAAAATATTACAGCATTAGAAAAAATGAAATAATAATTCATCTCTATTGAACATTTCATGTGTGCTAGGCAGAGAGCTGGGGATTTTATATAATAATATATTGGCTGATTTAATCTTTAACTCAAACCTTCCCAGTTAAACTTTGATAAATTGCCAAATAGGAGCTTGGCCCCATTCTCTATCTCAGCAACCTGTATTTTTATTTTCTTTGTAGTACTTATTAAATGTATAATATTTTTATTTACTTTTTTTTATTTGACTGCCAAACTGAACGTTCCACACAGTGGGAATCATGCTATGTCTACTGCCTATAGTGCTAAATCCTCAGTGCCTAGTATTTAGTCCTGAACAAAAATGTTCATTGACTGAAGAAAGAGCACTATCGAGAGAAGCACTGAAGCATTGAAAGAAGGAAATGATCAAGATGTGTCTTCAAGTAGCTACATCTAGGAGGGGAAAGTTTACGAGCTATCTCTGAGACAAGTTCTACATCACTACCTCTGACAATCACATGGTCTTCTGCCTAATTATCAGCCAAACCCACCTGTGTTCTTCTGTATCCTTCCTTCTAGCTTCTTATTTGCACATGTGCTTATTTGATATAATTGCAATCAGAATATCCCTATTATTTGCAATGTTACTTTTCTCACTTATACTTTTTTTTTTTTTGCAAAATTCAAGTCTTAAATATGATTATACAATAACTTGTCATGCTGAATTACTTAAAGGAAGCATTTGCTGCTGGACATTCAGGTATTTTTTTGTTCATTACTGATAGGTGATGTATCATAAGCATCTTTATGTTAGTGATTGAGTTGAATTTCTACTCTCTTATAAAAGGTAAACATTTTTATATTCATTTTCACCGTGAACAGACCACTCTGAATTTCCATTCTGCTGCACATAATTTAGCTATTTCTAAGCATGGTAAAAATGGGGAAATTGTCATTAGAGCTGTACAAAATACATAGAAGGGTGACATTTTTACATTTTTACTGTCACCCATTTTTACTATCATTTTTTTTTAAATCTCATTTTGAGCACTGCAAATTGTGACCACTAGCAGTTTTGATACTTCCTCTTCCCTTCCAAGTGTGCTGGCCTTTGCTTCCCTTGAAGTCACTAGCATGAATTCCCTGTCTGCAGTTGAAAGATAAAGTCTGACTAAAGTCTAGGCTGAATTTTTAGGAGCCCAGGATACAGGGAGCCAGATGAGCCCTGTGACTCCTCCTGTTTGTCTTTGATCTCTCTGTGATGAGTCTCAGTGTAGTTATGTAGAGAACTCTGGGGTCCAGGCCTGAACATTTGCTGACTTTGGGATCTTAACTCTTTGAACTCAAGTCTTCACACAGGCTAACTATCTGTCCCTTTTATAGACTTGTCAGATCATATAAGAGGCTTTATATGAATGCACTTATGATACTCTAAAAGATACATATGTATGTGTATAAATGTGTGTGCAAAGTTAATTCAGTGGATAAATACTTCAAATTCTGTATTTTAATATGTAAATGCTTGATAACTATGTATTAATACTTAATTTACATAATCACTTGATAACTGCTTACTACTTTAATATTTAAATATTTTAACAGCTAAAAAGTCTCTATTTTAAATTTTGCACTGTGATAAGTATCTTTTTATCAAACTATATTGTATACTTTTTATTTTTACATTGATCACCTACTCATTTACACAGCCATTAATATATAATTTTGAGATTAAAATTTCATATCTTCATATGTGCACATTTCACTCACCTTCCTATTGCATCCTTTTTAAAGGGTAAAAATTTGCCCTTTATTTTGTACTTGCTGTGATTTAAAGAAATAGCTACTATTTTATTCGTGAAGTTTTTTTTTT